AGACCCCAGCTCCCCGCCTTGCTCCCCTCAGAACCGCCCTCCGGCGGAGGTCAGCTCCCGGGCACCAGCTCCTGCAGACACAGCAGGCGGGGGTCTGGACAAGCACTGCTCACCGGCCTTCTGCCCAGCCCATGGACGCCGACGGGCTGAGCACCCTGGTGCCGGGACAGAGCCGGGCCGGTCCAGAAGCAGGCCCAGCGTCTCAGGTCCCTCCCTCCTCGATGCCTCCCGCATGCCTCATTGGCCCAGCAGTCCTTCAGTCCCCAGAGGGAGTTCCCCAGTCCCACGCACTCTGTGCCAACCGTCCTGCCCTCTACACACGGTTCTGAGACGTGGGGCCAGAGACCTGGGAGCTGTGAAGGCCTCTCAGCTGTAGAGGTCAGGCCCCTCTGTGCTCCGCCGCGGCGGTCACTCCAAAGCAGACACGCTCAGGACACTCACCTGGCACCAGTAAGACCCGTGATTGCTGCTCTAGCCCTCAGCTGCCCGGAGCCCGGCACGCTGGCGGCCCAACACGCTTCCTGCTGTCTTCAGCAGCCGGCGTGGGCCACATGGGCCCAGGAGGCCTGTCTCGAAGTAGCAGCCCTTTGGCAAGGGGAGCTCAGGCCTGTGTGGCACAGCCCCCCTGCCTGAGGCCTGCCTCCAGCACTCTGGATCCTGTGAGCCTGGACAGGCTGTTCAGAATTTACACCTCTGGCGGGCTTGGGGGATGACAGTTCTGTAGGGCAACTCAAAATCGCATTCCACACTGGAAGAACACAACGGGTTTCCAATGGGAGAGTGTGAGAACGCGCCACCGAGGTGTGTCACCACAAAGCCCCACAGAAGCACCTACTTCTATTCAACCCTCCATTCACTGCATGCTGGTCTGGAAAGGCTCCACGGGGGACCAGGAGCAGGGCTCCATGCTTTCAGCCTCTGCCTCAAGGGTGTAGGTGCAGACCTGGCCATGACTCAGTGCCACCCCCGAGGCCACAGCTGGCCTGGGAAACTGGGGCCTCATGCCCGAGTTCCGGTGTACCGCCATCACCTGCAAAACTTGGACACATATGTACACACACACAGATACACGCGCACACACAAAAGGAAAAGATCCAGACATTCAACGTAGAAAAGATATGGATGTGCTAAAAATCGCACAGAACCCGCTTAATCTCCAAACCTCAGAAATGCTAAAAGCCCCACGTCAGGAGACGAGACCACTGCCCAGGAGCAGGCAATCGGGTCTCTTCGTCCAAAGGCCCCTGGGCAGGGTACCCTGCACCCCAAGCTGCTGAGGAGCACAGGAAGGTGGCATGTGGCCACTGGGCACTCGGCCCCAGTGGTGATAGTGTGCAAGTGGACTTTCAGGAGATGGACACAGCCCAGGGCATTCATTTCAGCCACCCCTCCCCACAAAGAAAGAACCCCTTATGGCACAAACAAGATGGGGTGAGGGGCAGGCCAGGCCCAGGGGCAAATTCAATAGGACTGGGGGCTCCAGAGGGTAGCAGATAGGAGCCGGCTTAGCCCCCAACCCCCAACAGAGGATCCAGGGCCAGAACACTCATGCCTGGCTAAGGGTCTTGGCCCAACTTCAGGGCTGCCTCTTGGGGAAGCCATGCACAGCAATGCTGGGGAGAAAAATGACAGGGTGGGGCCAGGGCCTCCTGGCACAGAAGTGGGCTTCGCAGTGGAGAGTTCAACCTCCTTCCAAGACCCCCTTCTCAGGATCTCGGGCACGAGCGGTCCAGGCCAGCCCCCAGCCGGGGACAGGGTCACCCTCGATGTTCGCAACTGTGGTGGGGGGGATCCTCAGAGCAGTCACTGTGTAACCTCCAAAGCCGTCTACCCTGAGGCAGACCAAGTGCCCAGACAACACTGACAGTCCACAAACACAGCGGTGCCTGGAAGCACCCCTCCCGCCTCCTGGCAGCCGGGGCTCGGTGGCCGTTTGGCAGGCTCCTCCGATTGGCATCCTGCGGCCAGCAAGCCCACCAAAGCCAGGTGTGGTTTGGCCCCTGCCCCTGCCCACAGTGCCCTCTTTGTTCCCTACTTATGAAACGTGTGTTCTGGGCGATCTTCGTCATTCTTCTGCCATTTGAAAAGAAACAGACAGGGCCCGACAGCTATGCATGTTTCTGGAGCCCCTCCAGGAGACCCGGTGCAGGTGTCTGCTCTCTCGGGAGGCCAGTGCGGTCTGTGCGTGCACACGCACGCCATCGGTGGGTGTGTGGCCGTGCAGCTGGGTCCAGGCTCACTCAAGGGCCCTGTTAAGTCTCCCGTGGGGATCAAGCCGTTCTTGACAGCAAGACAGCAAAAAGGTGCTCTCCGCCCGTTAGGGCCGTGGGCCGGGCCGTCCTCTACACCACGGTACTGAGGGAACTGTGGCTGTGGCAGCCACCCCCCGGCAGCACCTCTGTGACCGCGCTGCTCCCGCTCTGGCCAGGGTCAGGGGGCACAAGCAGGGCACTGCTGCTGTCGGCCGAGTCTTCCAGGTCAGCCAGAGAGGCCCCTGCAGCGGGCAGAGGGTGCTCCAGGCACCGGGGGGAGGCACCTTCACCGCTACCATCCCCTGGGGCGGACGGCCTGGCCTCTGCTGGCTCAAAAGCATCGTCGTCTGCAAGGAGACAGAAGGGTGTCAGCAGGATGGTGGGTCTGGCCCAGGGGAAGCGGGTGGGCTGGACAGAACCAGGGGACGCTCCTCCTGTGTGAACGCTCCCACCATGGTGGGAGTGGGGGAAAGCGGTGCTCACCCCTCACCTTTGCAAGGGGCGGGCAAGGTACAGGGGTACAGTTATGAGCTGGACATACTTTGACAGTCAGCAGAACAAAGTCAGGGGAGAGGGAAAATCCTTTCAGACTTGGTGGGAGTCAAAGCAGGAGTCAAACCCCCCGTGACGTGAGGGGGTTACTGAGCTGGCAGCGGCCAGGCCGTGGCTGGAATACGGGGATGAGAATGCAAGAGGCAGGGCCGTGGCAGGCAGCTCCGCAAACCTCACAGGGGTCTGCAGAAATCCCTGGTTTGAGGGAAGCTTTGTGGCAGCCCAATCCCTTCAGTGTGCCTGCTCCTTATTACCCAGGCCCTCTCTGAAAGCTTGGGGCATGGGGGCCCAGCGTGCCCCTTTCGGCTGGCTGGCTACCCCCAGGCTCAGCAGTCCTGTTACCCTGCCCTGGGGAGCACGTGCTCCCTTAGAGCTCGCTCTGTGCAGGCATCTGGGACCTGCTGCCCCCGGGCGGCATCCCTGGCAGGAAGCCTGTTCTACCTTGAACCCCCCCAACAGCAGACGGGCAATCCGTGTGCGCAGAGGTCAAATCCAGGTCTTGCCCACAGACCACAGAGGGGCGGTCTCGGTCCCAGTGAACACAGCACTGCTGGCCCCATGACCCCTGTTCTGCTGGGGTACGTGGGTGTGCAGGGAACCGGCCACCTTGGAGGAGGGCACTGCCCGCTGGTGTACCTCATGGGGTCGTGTGTGTGAGGTGGTGTTAACACACCGGCAAATGGGATGGGACGCCTGAGCTGCACACCAGGCACAGGGACAAGCCAGGCAGTGGGTGAGGAACCCGGCGTTCCCTCTGTGCTACACGGCCCTGTGAGGAATGAGCTTCCACGGTGTCAGATGGACGGACAGCAGATTCAAGTCATCGGGCCAACATCACAGAACCAGTGCTTTCTTCACAGAACTGCTTCCAGACAGGAGGGAACATCAGGATGGCGTCTCTTCAGCTCACCACACGTACACATGTGTCTTTATGGCCGAGCAGTTGGCTCTGGGTGGGCCCCTGCAGCTCTGAGCTCGCCCTGACCCCACAACCACCAGCACCCGGCTCCCCAGCTCTCCACAGAGGCCAGGTGGCTGTGCCCCAAGGGCTGCTTGCTAACAGGTGTTCACGGGAGGAAGGGGTGCTCATCTGCACCGGCAACCCCGGGAAGAGCCCACCTACTGACAGACGGTGGTTCCTTCCACCTAAAGGGAAACCCAAGGGGAAAGAAGAACACCAAGAAGAAGAGGAGCAGCACCGCATCAACGACGGAGGAGGACCACCACCCCCCCCCTGAGTGACGACCTGCTCCCCCCCCGGCCCGGGGGGGAAAGCACCTGCGAGATCGTAGAACACACTATCAGGGTTGACGGAGGCCTCATAGGGCGGCGGCGGATCATCAGGCTGGTCGATGTCTGGGTACTTGTAGGCGGTGTAGGGAGGCGGAGGGTCGTGGAAGTGGAACGTGCCGCCTTCCCCGTCGTCAGAAAGGTGTAGTGGCGTGAGGCCGGTGCCGAACCCGTCTGGGCCATGATCAAAGCCGGGGATCCTCCGGCCGAGGTTGAAGTGGTGCACTGGGCAACCGCAGGGAGAGACAAGCCAACACAGCCATGTCACTCAAAGATGCGCGGCTCAGCCCCCAAGTCACCCACCCCCTCCCGATGCTGGACCTGCCACCCCCAGGCCCAAGGGATCAGGCATCCAGACTCTCACACTCGTGTGCCCAGCTGCCCACACGAGAGCCCTGAATCTCACCCGGACCCCCTCCTTCAGTGCACGCCTGGCCCTAACCCACATGCCAGCCATCACTACTTCCTACCACTTCGGCCGCCCCGCCGTCACCACACCCCTCCAGCTGAGGGTCTCTGTAGCTGGCCTGCTGAGCCTGAGGGTCTGGGGAAGGACTGGGCTGCCTCTCAGGGCCGTGAGTGTGAGACACACGACCCGACTGCAGCCGGTACGGTCCCTCAGCATTCCGGCCACCTTGAATCGGAGCCCTCGAGCCCTCGAGCCCTCGGGGTCTGCAACCCCCAAACCGCTGCCCACAGGGATGGGGGACCGGGTGCTGGGGGCCTGGCTTGCTCGCTGAGACAGGGAGCGACTCCCGCCGCTCTACTGAGGGCACAGGCCGCTCGCCGCAGAGGACTCGGCCTGAGGAAGGCAAGTCACACCGTAAGCTGCCTAACAGCCGCTCGGGGTGTCGGCTGCTCTGCGCCCTCTGCCCCCCGGCAGGTGGCCCACTCACGGTCCAGGCTGCCGGGAAAGGTACCATCCCCAATCCGAACACCCAGCGCCAGCTGTGGGTCGTGCTTCAAGGCCTGGAGGGCCGGGGGCGCTGGGGGCTGCTGGCATTGAGGGTGCATCCCTCCTCCGCACATCCAGGGCCTGATTTCAGGTCCCCGGGACAGTTCCCCTGGTTGCCCAGGTGGGTGCTCAGCCCAGGAGCAGGTGAGTGGGTGGGACGGGGACACGCCGGGGCAACCCTACCAACATCCTCTCTGTCCTCCTTGCCCCTTCCCGCTTCCTGTGCCTCCCGCCCCACAGGGGACACAGCCTGGAGCGGGACCTCCACTGTGGCTGTCACAGGCAGGGCCAGGCACACTCACAGTTGGCTCCAATCAGGGACTCAATGCGTTCCCGCCGCCTCTGGCGAAGCCGGTGGACCATGAAAAGCAGCAGCGACAGGATGAGGAAGGAGGAGATGCAGCTAACGATCAGACGCATCCCACTGGCCATGGAGTCGAACAGGCTGTTGCCATCTGGTACAAGGGGAGGAAGGAAACCGGCTGTTTTCCGAAAAGGAGAGCCTGATCCCCCAGGCGCTTAGTGCTATGGGAAGGCGACAGCCTTTCACCACCAAGCGGATATATGGAAAAGGCAACTTGCTTCCTGATTCCCTGCACTTGACGATCTTAGGAGAGATGGCAGAAATGAAACATCTCAGTGTCATGCATACTGTGATAACACCAAAGGAGAAGCAAATCGTCAGCCAGGAAAAATATTTTACCTTCCAGCCTAGCACTAAGTCCCATGCGATGAGCCCCTTCTGCCTAAAAAGCTTTGTTATGGGCCCCTGTGCCCCCAACCACACAGTACAAAATCAGGCGCATGTGACCAAGCTCCTGGACCCTAGACCAGGGGTGCTCACCTGGGCGACTCTGTCACTCCCAGGGAACATTTGACAATGTCTGGAGATACTTTGGGTCACCATCAACCCCTCGAGGGTGCAGGCACTCCTGGCATCTAGTGGGTAAAGGCCAGGGATGCTGCTCAATATCCTGCTGAGCACAAGAAGGGGCCACATCACAGTGCTCAGCCCCAAATGTTGACAGTGCCCACATGGAGACACCTGCCTTGCCCTGGTGCCCACCAGTATTTGTTAGGTACCTGCCGTGGAGCTGCTGCAGGGGGAGCACAGATGATCATGGGATGAGGTGTGAGGGAAGAGAACTTGCACTGGCTGAGTGCCAACGTGGGAGAGACCTCTCCAGGGGCTCTCACAGAGGTGAGACGGGCCACTCGCGCCATGTCACAGACACACAGAACCAGGAAGTGGTCCCGGGAATCCCTGCCTCCACGACCCAGAGGGAAGACCACGGAGGCCTCAGTGCGGGGAGAGTGACTGGTAGCCATTGGAAGCAGGACTCCCCATGGGTGGAAGGGCCAAGGACTGTCGACTTCCAACTCTGTGACAGCCATGCGGGCAGGTTCCCCAACCACCAGCCCCAAGGAGACACTTCACGGCCAACATGGATTCCATGTGAGAGGCCGGGCTCCCAGGGCCCTTCTACTGCTTCTGCTGGCCCAGCCTGCTCCACACCAATGCAGATGGTCTGAGCTCACTCTTGGCCTCCTCCCAAAGGGCCAGAGAGCTTCCCTCAAAGCTGCACTTATTGCTGACAACCCTTGGGAAGTAAGTATGTGGAAAGGATACGTCCTCTCACCAATCAGCTGCTTTTTTGGTGCCTCTGATCCTCTTCCAGTCTCAAGGGACCATTTTGTCTCTGTCTGTGGGAGGAAGTCTGTCAGCTCAGGGGGCTGCTGACATGTCTGTTCATTGCTGGCCAGCTCAGAGATCCCAAGGGGGCACATAAAGCAGCAGTCTCTTTGCAATGACTCTTATTAATCACTTCCAAAATGAACCCAAGGACACAGTCGACAGAGTCAAGGTCCCTGACCATCCCTCCATGGTGACTACCAGGAAGGAAGGAGCATCCCCTAGAAAAGAGCCACCTGCACACACTTTGTCAGACACAGAGAAGACAGCACTGCCGTAGGAGCCAGAAGGCAGCTCTTGGGTCCCTGGGGACTCACGCCACGACTGGTTAGCTACAAGTGTTGCCTATCTCAAGGTCACAAAGATTTTTCTATGGTTTCTATCTTCTTTTAACAGATTTTATTTTATTAGAGCATATATTTTCTCCTAGGCGTTTTACAATTTAAGGTTTTACAGTTAGGTCTATGACCATTTTGAGTTAATTTTTATACATAGTAAGATGTGTAGTTAAAGGTATGTGTGTGTATATATATATTCTGCATATGGATGCCCAATTGTGCCAACACCATTTGTTAAAAGATATCCTTTCTCCATTTAATTGCTTTTGTAACTGTTGTCAAGTATTAGTTGACCATATATGTGTGGGACTATTTCTGGAATACCACACTGTTTTGATTACTATGACCGTACAGTAAGATTTAAATCAGGTACCATGAATCCTCCAACGTTGTTCTTTTCAAAAACTGTTTTAGCTATTCTAATTCCTTTCCCTTCCTACATAAGTTTTATTTATCTTTTTTTTTTTAAGTTTTTAAGTAATCTCTACACCCAACATGGGACTCGGACTTGCAACCCTGACGTCAAGAGTCCTGTGCTCCACTGACTGAGCCAGCCAGGCACTCCTCTACATAAATATTAGAATCAGCTTGTCAATGTCTGTAAAATGTCTGCTGGAATTTGGGTTAGGACAGCATTGTATCCATAGATAATTTGGGGGGAATTAACTGCCTAATGATATTGAGTCTTATGATCCATGAACATGGTATACCTCTCCTTCTATTTACACCTTTGATTTCTTTCATCAGTATTTTATGGTTTGTAGCATAGCGACTGTGCACGTATTTGTAAGGCTTATACCTAAGTATTTCATGTTTTTTGGTGCTATTGTAAATGGTACTTTTCTTAGATATTTCAATTTCCAACTGTTCACAGGTAGTATATATAAAAACAATGGAGTTTTATATATGACCTTGTATGTGGAGACGTTGCTAAACAAACTTAATAGTTTTAGTAACTTTCTTGTAAATCCTCTGGGATTTACAATCATGTCATCTACTAAAAAAAAGATGATTTCATTTCCCTTCTGGTCTGGATACCTTTTCATTTTCTGGCACTGCCCTTGACCACCTATACAACCATGAACAGAGTGGTGAGCGCAGACATCCTTGCTTTGTTGAGGGGGATACTTTCCCATCGTCCCCAGTTTGGGTGGCAGTGTCTCTGTCCTTGTTGGAATACAGTCACTTCCAAAGAGAAAACACTCAGCCTGGGAAGCAGTTAGGAGCCTGCAAAAGTAAGACTGAACAAGAGGCAGGGAGATGTTCTGGATAAGCTGCTCTGGTTGCACAGGAGAATGGCCTGCAGCAGCTATGGTCTCATCCAGAGGCCCTGAGAGTCCTGCTCTGCTGAGAAGTCCTCAGGGCTAGGTAAACCCTACAGGCCTTATATAGGCCTAGTCATTCTGACAAAGCCTGGATGGAGGGGTAAGGCAATACTGCTAGACTCCTAAGAGATAGAATGAGAAATCCAGGTGATGTGGCTTATGAATGCCAGAGTTTGACTCCTGTGGAAGGTAAGTGAGTTGGAGGTTCAGAGTGATGTGGCCAGGACACAGGAGACCTGGTAAACACCCAATCAGTGCTTATCAGAATCCCACAGGAATGCGTCTTATACTCTGTGAGATAGGGAGGCCCAAGTGTACCCTCACTGAGCTCCACTCTCCCTGGTAGGCTCCTCTGTACTCTCCACAGCTGATTGCACATCTGGGACATGTGCCAAAGTGTCTGGTTCGGCCAAACCTCAGACACCCTCTGACATTGCTTTGCCCTCTCCCCCAGAAGCCCTTCCTGGCATGCAGGGACACTGACAACTCTCTACTTAACGAGAGCTCTAGTTGTTGTGGCCCTCACACACCAGTTCCAGCTCCTGTCCCACCAGCACTAGGCAAACCAGTTTCTCCTCCACAGGGGCCCTGGAGGATGGAAATGGCCACCACGCCCTGCCCAACCTCTTCTACGAGGTCCATGAGCTTAGGGACTTCCACAAGGCCCTGTCCACATCTCTCTCACACTACCAAGATAAAAAAACAAATTCATGCTTTTGATTTACATTTCACCTGAGATTATGAATTCACAGAGATACCAACTGCACTGGTGTGGAGAATAATCCAGCATGCTGTATGGAGTGTGATGCCCACTAATGGTCGTACAGAGCAGGTTGCTATCTGCTGCTCTTTTTTTTTTTTTTTTTTTTAAAGGAAAGGAAGAGGGCTATCTAGAGACCACATGCCTGTATAGTGTCTAACCACAAACACCATCTGGTAGAAAGGAGTTTCTTTCTCAAAACTGAGGGTAATATTTAATCTTTTTCTGAAAGATTTTAATGGTAAAAATCAATGACTATAAGCAATAAAAACTGTCATCACTGTCCACATCACCATACTTGGAAAAGAGCTCAAATGGGGACATAAGTCTTGAAAGGAGAAAGATAGGTCAGGTTTGAAGCCATCAGTTACAGCTGATTCATGAACAGACACCCACATTCAAGTTCAAGTTCACTGGTGTACAGTACTTGTTACCCACCTGAGAGCTGACACAAGCCAACCTGTAAGGTGGCAGTTAGAGAAGGCTGGGTCATGTGACACACACATGCCCACAAGAGCAGCTGGCCCTCAAAGCTGGCCGGACAGCTCTGTCAACAAATGCTGCCACCATTGCTATGCCATGTGCCATGAGCTCTCAGGAGTCCCCACCATTGAGAAAGCAAAGGGATATTGGGCTCCAGCTCAGAACAGGGAGGCTGACTCATGACCCACCATCAGTCTCACCTGGGTCCAGGCACATGAACTTGCAGCATTCCTTGGGGTCCTTGCGGTACTGCTGGCAGCCCTGGGGCCTCTCACAGAGGGCAGCCACACACATCTCAGGCTCCCCACCATGGCAGGTGCAGCTCAGGCATGGGTCGTCTCCTTTGGGGGTGAAGTAGAACCCTTCATCCACCACATTGTCCTTGATGTCAACGCATGTTTGACCTGCAACATGCACATACATGCATATATGTATGCATTATCAGCAGAAGGAGCCCTGACTCTCCCCAGCTGGGTCTAGGTTGTGGACATGACAACAGAGGAGTTAGCAAGATCAACCTGAGAGCCCTCCTGTGCTGGAGTGTGTGAATCTGGCCCACAACCAGAGGAAGTGGCTATCTGAGAGAGGTCACTACAGCTCACTGTTAGGACAAAAGCACACCTGGTCAGGGCACACCTGGCCATGAGCCCAGACAGCTAGGAGAGAGAAGAGTGCTAGATTCCAGGGGAAAGCCCATGGAGAAGTGGTTGCTTTCAAGTGTTTGCCTAAGCAGTTTACTTAGAGATTTCCTCAATTTTAAGATGCAGCTGCCATGCATATTAACCATTTTACAACACATTTGAGAATGTGTCTCCAATGATTCTCCCAAGAAGCTGCTGGCTCTGTTTACAAAGTCCACTAGTCACAAGACACACACAGTAAACTCTGTGCAGACCTGACCTGGGGCTAGAGGAAGAGAAATGGCCATGGCCAGAGACGAGAGGGAGCTGAAAACTCAGAGCCCTAAGCCAGCCCCAGACACAACAGATGCCTGGAGGAAGGGACAAGGGATGAGGCAGGGGCAGCTCTCCAAAAGACACATGCTCAGTGAAAGGCAAAGGGACATGAGAAGAGGTTTGTTTCAGTCTCCAAATGGAGTAGAGATATCTAAAAAACTCATCAGAAATCCCACGACCATGGGTCTGTGCCTCACTTAAGACTGGAGTCAAATCTACAAAGCTCATGTGGTCAGGAATATGCAGGGCAAGAAACTCACATAGAACTGTTCTCTGCTAGAACAGAGAAAAAAGAATGATGAAAAATGGGCAGCCCTTGGAGAAATGTGGGACACCATCGAGTGCACCATCATACGCGAAATGTAAGTACCAAAAGGAGAAGAGAGAGGGAGCAGAAAAAAGTATCTGAAGAAATAACTGCTGAAAACTTCCCAAATTCACTGGAAAAACCTATACGTGTAGGAAGCACAACAAACTCCAAGTTGGATAAATGCAAAGAGCCTAAACACGTCAGATACACACATTATAGCAAAGTGCTGAAGTCGAAGAAAAAGTGAAAACCTTAAAAACAGCAAGCCAGAAATAACTTGTTACTTACAAGAGAACCCTCATAAGACTAAACAGCTGACTTCTCAGCAGAAAAAACAGAGGTGAGAAGGCAGTGGGATAACATACTCAAGGTGCTCAAAGAAAAAACTGTCAAGCAAAAATCCTATATCCAGCAAACCTAGCTTTCAAAACCTGAAGGCAAGATAAAGACTTTCCCCAGACAGACAAGACCTAAGAGAATTTGTTGCTTTCACACTTGCCTTATAAGAAATTCCAAAGAAATCTTTGGTATTTCTTATAAGATCTTTTTTCCCCCAAGAAGTTTTTTTTTTTTTTTTTTTAAAAGAGGGAGAGAGAGTGAGCATGAGGGAAGAGAGGGGCACAGAGAGAGGGAAAGGGAGAATCCTAAGCAGGCTTCACGCTCAGCGTGGAGCCTGACACAGGGCCTGACGCGGACTCTATCTCACAACCCTGAGATCAAGACATGAGCCAAAATCAAGAGTCAGATGCTTAACCAACTGAGCCACCCAGGCGCCCCACCCCAAAGGAAGTTCTTAAGGCTAAAAGAAAGTGACCTTCAGAGAGGAATTTGGATCCATACAAAAAACCAAAAGGCACTAGAAAAGATAATTATGTAATTATGAAAGACAATATAAATGAGTTCTTTCTCTCAACTGACTGAAAAGGCAATTGTATAAGATACTGTGTTTATAACGTAGTATTGGGCTTCTAACATATAGAAATGTAATGAACGTGTTTGCCAATAACAGCCCAAAGGAGGTGGGTGGAAGCAAAGCTGTTCTAGGCTAAGGAAATGACTGGAGGTGGTAATTAACAACTATGTTTTGTTCGTTTGTAACACTAACAGACCTAATGCGTATAATAATACCACAGAAAGAAGGAAAGGGAATAGGGTTATGAGAGGTAACATTCCACATATCACTGAAATGAACCTAGTATCAATCTGAAGCTAATCTGAATAAAATGTATATGGCAAAATGTATATGTAGATGTACATGGAATTAGTGGTAACAGTTACACTTACCTGTGAATATACTAAAAAGCATTGAATGGTACGTTTTAAATGGGCGAATTGTAAAGTATGTGAATTATAACTTAATAAAGCTGTTTAAAAAAAAGAGATGATGGCTGAGATCATCCCATTATTAACAAAACACATAAATCCCTAGGGGTCCTAAAAGGACCAATAAAAATAAATCAATAACCAGATATAATGTGATGAAACCTCAGTGTATCAACAAAGAGAAACTCTCAAAAGCAACATGAGAGAACAATTACCTACTGTTCCGTGCTCTTTCAGGCAATGGTCAGTCTGGATGGCCACAAGGGGAGCCCAGGGGAGGCACAGGAAAACGAAGTGTATTATACTTATGAGTATATCCTGGACCGACAAGAATCATTGCACACCAGGAGGGATCACACAGGAAGAACACCAAGGGTGCCGCTCAACCAAGTGGGTAGGAAACAGAGGAGCGAGGACCCACAGCAAGTGCTTTATTGGGGGTCAGGGTGGAGTGCACAAGCAAAGGCATAGGGGGAATTTCACTGGAGCACTTGACTCTCACTAGGTCACAGTCAGGGGAGGGCAAGGAGAACTTATGGCAGAGGCCAGCCTTATCACACTGCAGCACCTGGCCATCTGGGCGGGGTGCTCACAGCCTGTTTGTGGAGCAGGAAGATAAGAAGTTTTAAATTTACAACACACCCAACAAACGAAGGAAAGGCATATAATAGTTCAGAGCAAGGAATAGGCAGAAGTAAAATAACATCTTCAAAGTCTTGAGAAAAAGTAACTGTTACCCAACAAATCTATACCCAGCTAAACAAACATTCAGGATTGGGGGCAAAAAATAGACTTTTCATTCAGAGAGTGTAGCACTAACAACACAACCTCATCTCAAAGAGCTCCTAAAGAATGTATCTGAGAAATAAAAAGCTGAACCCAGAAAGAATTGGGATGCAAGACGAAATAAAAAAGAAACTGACGAACATGTGAGGAAAGGTACATAAATGCTGGCTTCATAAACCAACAAGTGATTCATTTAAGAAATATAAAAACAAAGTAAAACTAAAATAATGGACAACAAGTCCATGTAAGTCAGAAGCTGGGGAACAACCGAAGCTAAAGCAATATAGAGCTTTTGGTGGTTTTTTTTTACTTTTTATTTTTAGGTGCACAGGGAAGTGTGTCTTCCAAGAATTGAGTTTTTGAGCTGAAATGGCTGCCACTGGGGAAAAAACAAAAACAAAAACAAAACCCTCTGCTTTCCAGTTCCAGCTGATGGTGACTTTTTGACTGATATCCATAAAAGAATTCATTGAAAAGCACACTTGTTCTCAGCAGCCTGTGAGGTCCCTCGTGAATTCATCATCTAGGGAAGGGGAGGCATACCCAAGTTGCAGACACAGGGCATGTGCTCTGCAGAATTGTAAGAAAGATAAGGGTTGGTTTTAACCATCCTCCCAATGCCCCCCCCTTTTTAAAATATTTTATTGATTTGAGAGAGAGTGAGAGAGAGCATGAGAGCAGATTGAGGGACAGAGGGAGAAGCAGGCTTCCCGCGGAGCAGGGAGCCCAATGTGGGACTTGATCCTGGGACTCCAGGATCATGACCTGAGCCAAAGGCAGCCACTTAACTGACTGAACCACCCAAATGCCCCCAATGTCCCTTTTTAAGCCTGCTTAAAAGGTGGTTCACACGGTGAGTAGAAATTAGGCCCCTCTGCAGTCTTGATCTTCCTCACTCAATCAGTGAACACAAAGTGGCACTGGCCCACTGGAAATTACAGGCTCCATTAGGGAGAAAAGAAATTACTTACTAAGCAACAAATTCTGTAAATTTGTAATTCAGATCTTAGACTGGCCTGGCAACAAAGGGTCTTTGTATTAACAAGAAGGAAGTTAGAGACACTGTCTTTAGATTTAAAAAAATAAATCAATTATGCCCTTTAAAAATGTAAGGGTGGGCGCCTGGGTGGCTCAGTTGGTTAAGCAACTGCCTTCAGCTCAGGTCATGATCCTGGAGTCCTGGGATCAAGTCCCACATCGGGCTCCCTGCTCAGCGGGGAGTCTGCTTCTCCCTCTGACCCTCCCCCCCCCATGCTCTCTCTCTCTCTCATTCTCTCTCTCAAATAAATAAAATCTTTATAAATAAATAAACAAATAAATAAATAAAATGTAAGGGTAACCACTAACACGACAGGCATATATAACAGAATTTCTGAACCAGTATAGGAAAAAAAGAGACTAGAGAAAAGTTGATTAATCTCATATAAGTCAGGAAAAGATAAAAAAGAAGAAAAATCCTGGGTAAACAGCACAGAATAAAGTGCCAAAATCAACTTGAAGACTTAATTAAAGAGTACAAAAAGGCATGTTAAAGGCACCTGTATATGCCATATATGGCATATTATGGGGCTAGCCCAAAAATATTATGTAATAATAATGAAAACAGTTCATGTATATTGAGAGCTGTCTATATGCCAAGGACTGTTCTTTGCACTGCACGTATGCTGACCAATCTCTCCCAACAACAGGGTGAGTGAGGTGAGTGCTCTACTACTCCCTTTTCCTGATGTGGAACCCAAGGGACAGAGCTCAAGAAACTTGTCCAAGGCCAAACTTGGATTCAAAGTCTGGCTATCTGACTATTAAGCCTCATCTCATAATACCATTTTGCAGCTACCACTAGAAAAGAAGTAAGACTTTAAGCAAAACCAACAAAAACTAGTATGGATAAAAAGGGATCATTACATCATGATAAAAAGGTTCAATTCAGGAAGATATAATAATTATGAGTACTTACACTCCCAATAACATGACCTCAAGACAGATAAAGCTAAAATTAGAGAATTATCAGGGAAAAATGGATGAATTGACATCCACAGCGAGAGATTAAAACACATCTCTTTCAACAATTGATATACCATGCAGTCCAAACAGACTTGAACAATGCCATCAATAAGCCTGAGCTAATAAATGTATAAAAAATCCTACGGCCAAGAGTTTACGCACATATGGAATAGTAACAAAAATCCTAACAACAAAACATAAGTATCATGTTATCTGACCACAGTACACATAAACCACTAAATTAAATTACAGACTATTAGTAAATACGATCTATGATTAATCTATGATAAGAATGACTTCCTGGAAGGGGGGAATATACTGACTACAAAAGGACAGGAGGCATCTTCTGGAGGGCTAGAAATATTCCACATCTTGATTTGGGAAGTCGTTACACATGTGTACAATTTCAACAAACTTGCACTTAAGATCTGTGTACTTTAATGTTTGTAAATACAGGGAAAATTAAACTTTAATGCCTTATATTAGAAAAAAACTAAAAATTAAGGAGATAAAGTCTAACTCTAGAAGGTGGAAAAAGAAAAGGGTAAATCTTTTTTTTTTAAGATTTTATTTATTTATTTGACAGCGAGAGAGAGACAGCAAGAGAGGGAACATAAGCAGGGGGAGTGGGAAAGGGAGAAGCAGACTTCCCGCTGAGCAAAGAGCCCGATGCGGGGCTCAATCCCAGGACCCTGGGATCATGAGCTGAGCCGAAGGCAGACGCTTAACCGACTGAGCCACCCAGGCACCCCAGAAAAGGGTAAATCTAATAAAAGTGAAAGGATGGAAACTGACAGTAGAAATTAATGGCACAGAAAACAGATACACAACAGTGAGAATCAATTACTACCCAAAGCTGGTTAGTCACAAAGATGAATCAAAGAGCCAAATCTTCAGTAAGACTAATCAAGAAAAAAGGAAGAAAGTATAAATAATATTAGAAATCAAAAGGAGGTCATAATGATATACACGAATACTTCAAAAAAGAGAATTGTATGAGAATGAAGTAAAAAATTCAGACACATAGGCAATGCCCTAGATAAATGTGACTTACCAAACTGACTGAAAAAGAACCAGAAAACTTGAATACATCTATAATCATTAAAACAATTAAATTAGTATCAAAAATCTACATCCAAGATACACACACACACACACACGCAAACACATACACACGTCTTAGCTCTGTCCACTGAAAGGGCGTAAAAGCCATGAGCATAACTAGTGCCCAGGTCCTCCAAAGCTCTTTGGGAAAAGGCTGAGTCCAGAGAGTACAAGATGAACTAGAAAAAGAAAGCAAACAGAAGGAAATAATAAAGAGCAATAATCAGTGAAATTGAAAATAGAGAAAAATCAATGATACAAAAAGCTGGTTCTCAAGAAAATCAACAAAATTGATAAACCTCTAGCAAGACTGACAAAATCAAAATGGGAGAAACACAAATCAGGAATGAAATAGGGGACATCACTATAAACCCTGCAATCATAAGAAGGTTAATAAGAGAACACTATGAGGGGCACCTGGGTGGCTCAGTTGGTTAAACGACTGCCTTCAGCTCAGGTCATGATCCTGGAGTCCCAGGATCAAGTCCCGTGTCAGGCTCCCTGCTCAGCGGGGAGTCTGCTTCTCCCTCTGACCCTCCCCTCTCTCATGTTCTCTCTCTCTCAAATAAGTTTTTTAAAAAATCTTAAAAAAAGAGAACACTATGAATAATTCTATGCCCATAAATCTGAGTACTTACAAGAAATGGATCAATTCTTTGAAAACCAGAAAGTATCAAAAATTCACTCAACGTGAAATAGACAATCTGAACAGTCCTATAGCTATAAGTTGAATTCATAATTGAAAAACTCCCCCCAAAAGAAATCTCAGGCCCAAGTGGTTTCACTGGAGAATTCTACCACTACAGACAGTGGTTGCAAATGCATGTAGTTATAAAGGAATAATAGGGAGGATCTTTATGGTGCTAGAACTACTCATATCTTGACTGAGTTATAGGAACCTAGACAAGTAATAAAACTCTATAAATCCCTCTCTCTCTCATACACACACACACACACACACACAAATGAATACAAGTAAAACTGGAGATAGCTGAATAAGATCAGTGGATTGTGTCCAAGTCAATATCCTGGCTGTGATATTACACTATAGTTTTGCAAAACGCTCCCATTTGGGGAAATCAGGCAAAACGTATAAGGGATCTCTCTTATTTCCTTTAAATGCATCTGAACCTACAGGATCTCAATAAAAATGTCAATTTCAAAAAAAAAAAGCCAGCATAAATGGGTCAAATTAAGCATAAAAATAATGGTACTCATGAATTACAACCCATCTTATATAATACAAATCCAAGAGTGCATTCTAATACAATTAAAGAAATTAATAAATGGGGGAGAAGGGAATGCTTTTCCTTACCATAGAATGCAAACTAGTAAATATGGAAGGAATGACAGAGTCAGAAAATTGCCAATACATGCCAGCATCAGTAGGTACAAATTTGATGAGGAACAGGAATTTCACACAGCCTCAAAGGATCTCCTATTATTTATTATTTTCAAAACGGGAAAAACTAGAACTTTACAGTACAGAATTCTGGCAGGTACAACCTTAATCCAGGGATCAAAGCTAATGTCACCACTGTCAGGGCAAAGCGACACCACATGCCTCATCAGATGATGTATCTAAGAGACTATACAGACAATGGCTAGGCCATATTCGACAACAGGGCTCTGACCCACCACCTCTGCAGCGACCAGCCCAAAACATTTAGGATTTGGTCGATGACTATGAGCTTCCCTGTTTTTTCCACACTTCCAAGGCAGGACCCAGCAGAGAAAGCCAAATATGCTCCTCAAACCAATTGCCTCAACTGCCTGGCTTGTAGTTAGTTAGCCTGCCCCAAGCTTCCCATGCCAACTGCCTCCAATCAGAGCATACCGGGAGCCTTTAGGGCACTGGTGAAAACCCTGTGATGGATCCACAACTTCAGCTGGAGGCAGGACAGATGCAGGTGATGGCCACACACATTAAGACAGCTGCAAGAGACGGACTCTCTCAAGAGTGGCCCAAAGGGAAGATCTAAAGCAGAGGGCAGAGCAGACATTAAGAAGAGCCCTTGCAGGGGGCGCCTGGGTGGCTCAGTAGTTGAGCGTCTGCCTTCGGCTTGGGTCATGACCACAGGGTCCTGGGATCGAGCCCTGTGTCGGACTCCCTGCTCGGTGGGAAGCCTGCTTCTCCCTCTCCCACTCCCTCTGCTTGTGTTCCCTCCCTCGCTGTGTCTCTCTCTGTCAAATAAATAAATAAAATCTTTAATGACTGAGCCACCCAGGCATCCTGTATTTTCTCAATCTTAAAGAAAGTGCCATATTTAACACTGAAACACTGAAAGCTTTCCCTTTGAGGCTAGGAAGATAAGATTATGCTCACTACCAGCACTTCTAATCAACACTACAGTAGGCCTTAGCAAGTAAAGGAACACCAGGGGGAAAAAAACATAAAGAAATAAAAAGTCAAAGATTTGAAAGAAGACACAAAAATGCATAAATAGAAAATCTAGCATAATCCACCGAGGTAAGTGTTCTAATAATGAGCTCAGAAAACGGATCCTAAAATTCAGGTGAGAAAAAATGTTGAGAGTCAGCAACAGAAGGGGCAAGAGCAAGGCAGGGAAGCCCAGCATCCGCCAGGAGTATGTATCCCAAAGCTCCTGTAAAGATGGTGTGGTATCAGCATGGGACTGACAAACAGTCAAGGGTCAGAATGGAGTCCAGAAACAGGCTCAAACATCTATGAACCCCTGATGAATGACCCATCAGGAGGGAAAGGAATGATGGTCCAAATTAATGGCGCTGAGACCATCGGCTGCCACCCAGCCTTACATGCTGCCTCTGGGTGCTATTCATCCCTCCTTCCACCGCAGAGGGACCTGGGCGAGGGGCCCTGCCCTCAGTAAGGACAACACACTGCGTGTCCCTGAAGCCCAGAGGAGGCCTCAATGTGGAATTATGGGCAAGGGAGCGGGCAGAGGGACAGGGAACGATCACAGACGGAGCCGGGGGAGCAGTCCAGATGCAGAGCGGGCAGTCTGGGAAAGACCCAAGGAGAGTGCAGGTGGGTAACCAGGAGAGTCAGAGGCTCCAAGACACCACAAGATGTGGCAAGTCCTCCATCACCATTCTCATTTAATCTCCGAACAACGACGAGGTGTGGAGGGCAGGAATTATCACCTCTCCCCTGGGAAAGAGGAACGAGGGCTCACAGACATGGACTGCTGCCCAGCTCTTGCCCTCCCCCCACAGCGGCAGTGTGCGTTCAGAGAGGGGTGTGAGCCAGGCAAGGAGCTCCTGCCGCCCGCCCCACTGTGATACAGGGGTCTGCCTTGGTGCACCGTGAGGTCAAAGGCTACTCAAGGTTGACACCAACGTCCGGAAATCAGAGAGCTGTACTCGTGTACTCATGAGAAGCACTTCCTTACAGCTCCCTAGGAGCCACAGCCACAGCGGCTTACTTCTTTTACAGAGAAACGAAGACTTCTCGTAGCAGTTCTCGGCATGCCAGCTGTGCAGGTCGTGGTGGCGGAGGGTGGGGAAATGGAAGCACTGGAGCTGGGCGCAGAACACGCTGTCGCTTTCCGACATGGCCGACGCGAAGATGGGGTCTGGGGGCAGGAACACCTCTGAGGAACCTGGGGGGAAAATCACATGCTGTCAACATCCCAATCATGTGCAGTCCTCATGGGGACCAAGACCCCCCAAACCGGACCATCAGTCAAAGGGCTTGTGGGCTGCCACGTGCTAGGTGCACACTGCAGTTACGGCATTCATTCACGGCCTCCCTTAGTTCCCACGAGCACTGCTCTGGGCAACACGAAGAATAGAGTAACGGGCCAGAACACAGTGGATTAAAATGTCTGAGCTCATATGGATAAACAACAAATAAACAAGAGCGGGGAGGGGGGTATCCTCTCTTCTAGCAAGGTATCTGGAAGGGTTGGAGAAGGGTTCAAAAAGGCACCCACTGCACATGCCGGGACACACAATTCAGACAGAATCATGGCTCTGACAACCCAGCAGGGGTATCAGCTGGCCAGGTGAACTGGAAAGCCCCGGCTCCCTGGGACCCCTCCCAGCTCCAGGGAGACTCTGTCACTCACTGAACTTCTGCCTTCCAAGCTGGGGACCAGGCAATCAGAAATCGTCCTGCCCTGGCAGCCCAGAGTGGGGGTGCCGGAGTGCAGGGAGAGGGGGCCAGGAACCTCTAAGCCTCTCTTCTGCCATGTCCCAGGAGGTGGGACTCTGGCCACATGTGGGGCACAGCACAGCCAGCTCCCAGAGCCCACTCTCTACCTCAAAGAACCCTCCAACACTGGACCACCAAAAGATGCCTTGAGGCTAACCTGGACGTGGGTCACCGGAGATACCCTCATTTTATTAAGATGGCAATGCGCTTTACCCTTGGACAGCAACAAGGCATTCCCATGCATGCCTTTTGAACTCTATTTGCTCCCAATACTAAGCATGGAGGTCAGTTTTAAAGAGCCAGCGAGTCTGGAGGTGGGGCCTCATCCTGTAGACACTGGGAACATGGCCTCCCAGCTCCCTGACAAGGGCAGGAAGATAGACTCTGGGGAAGCATGATGGGATAAAAGCCCAGTCCCCAGCCGACAGGCACAGTCAATGTCAGTGCACCCCTGCTAGGGGATACTGGGGCCCCAGTGGTCAGACTCACAGGAGGACCATGGAGGGAGGGCAGGGGTGGGGGGGGTCTTCTTACACCATCTGGGGAGACTGCCTCCAATGCTAAGAGTGGGCCCTGCCATGAGCACAGTGGCATCCAGCCCCCTGCTCCCCAATGAGGTCTCCTATAACCCTTGTGTGCCCTCTTCTTATCCTTCAGATGGGCGATGCCTCCCTTCTTAAAAACTGTTTTTCTTCACTATTTGGCTTCTTGTCTCATGGGCTGAAAATGGAAAAGATTCATCCTGTCCTCTATAAAAACAAACAAACAAGTCTTCAAGGGGCACCTGGTTGGGCATCCAACTCTTGGTTTCAGCTCAGGTCATGATCTCAGGGTACTGGGATTGAGCCCCATATCAGGCTCTGCACTCAGCGTGGAGTCTGCTTGAGATTCTCTCTCCCTCTCCCTCTGCCCCTCCTGCTCATGCTCTAAAATAAATAAATCTTTTTTTTTAAAGATTTTATTTATTTATTTGACAGAGAGAGACAGCGAGAGAGGGAACACAAGCAGGGGGAGTGGGAGAGGGAGAAGCAGGCCTCCCGCTGAGCAGGGAGCCCGATGAGGGGCTCGATCCCAGCACCCCGGGATCATGACCTGAGCCAAAGGCAGACACTTAACCGACTGAGCCACCCAGGCGCCCCTAAAATAAATAAATCTTAAAAAAAAAAAAAGTCTTTAGCCCTGAGTCTAGTCACCAGCCCAGAGCACAATGTCAGTGCATGACTGCAAAACTCTGACCAAGACCACAAATGCACCTGGTCCCCACCCCCTGTCCTGCCCACAGCTGCCTGGAACCTGCCTGAGCCAAGCTGAGAGTGGAGGGTGGGGTGGGGTAAGGGTGGCTCAGGCCCCAGCAAGCCATGCACAGACGGAGGGCACAGGGAGGGCAGAGTGGAGCAAGATCCTCCCACCCACTGGTGCCCATGGGACTACCTGGGACTACCTGGGCCTCCTCACTCTATGCTGGTCAGAAGCCCTGTTTACCCTGAGGCCATGTGGGCTGCAGTTTCTTGAAACCAATGACTAAGAAGATCACTTCCTCTTTGCCAAACTTAGTTCCTTTCAAGCCTTCATTCTATGTGCCCTCTCTATGGCACCTCATACTCTATTTTCCCAAAAATGCTCCATTCTTTCTCTGCCAGCAGCTAAATTCCCAACACACTCAGTGTGGTCTTCAATTAGCTTCTGCAGTGGGTTGAGGAGCATCCCACCAAAATTCATGGCCACCTGGAACCTCAGAATGTGACCTTATTTTGCTCTCGAGATTAAATCATCTGGGATTTGGGGTGGGTCCTAAATCCAAGGACCAGAGGGCGCCTGGGTGGCTCAGATGGTTAAGCTCCTGCCTTCGGCTCAGGTCATGATCCCAGGGTCCTGGGATCGATTCCCACATCGGGCTCCCTGCTCCTTGGGAGCCTGCTTCTCCCTCTGCCTCTCTCTCTCTCTCTGTCTCTCATGAATAAATAAATAAAATCTTAAAAAAAATAAAATAAAAAAATAAAATAAATCCAAGGACCAGTATCCTTACAACAAGGGAGAAGACACAGAGGAACATGTGGAAAATGGTCAGACGGAGCAGAGCCCGGAGTGTGGCTGTCACAAGCCAAGGACCACCAGGAGCCACTATGCACTGGCAAAGGAGGAACTCTCCTGGAGCCTCTGGAGGGAGGGCAACCCTGCCGACACCTTGATTCTGGATCTGTCCCCAGAACCGTGAGAAAATCAACTTGGGTTAAGCCAGAAGTTCATGGGACTCTCTTAGGGCAGCCCCAGGCATCTAAGAGAGCCACCTAATCATCTCCCCCACTGATTTAACAAATGCCCACAGGCCCCATCCTGTAAACAGGCGTTCAGGATACACCGGCCTTGCCTTGCCCTGCAGAGCTCACACTGGGGCAGGGGGAGGGACTGGAAACAGATGACTAAGAGACCCAATGAGTGAAATGTATGTGATGTTGGAAGGTCACGGCTGTTCTAGGTAAAGAGAAAGCTGGAACATGGAGATGAAGGCAGGCCTTGGAGCAGTGCCTCGGGAGCAGAGAATGGAGGGGAGGGGTGACAAGGCTTGTGTTAGGAGCCCCACACCACGCACAGGCACGCTGCTTTGCTAGAAGGACTCAAGGGGCCCAGTTTCTAGCTGCAGTCATGGCTAAGATTTATTACAGCAACACAGCATGATACACCAGCAGCAAGAGAAGGGGACAGCTCAGGCGGAGTCTGGGGGCATCCAGGCCAGACTTCCCAAGCACTCTCCCACCTGGCAAGAGGGTGTGGGCCTTTGCTAGCTGCAAGCTACAGCTACATGGGTGTGGCATTTCTGCCCAGAGAAGCCCCCTGGGCACCTCGATTCCAGGCTCATCAAGGGAAGCCGGTGTTCACCATAAACCCCATTGTTCGTGTGGTCCAGGCGGCTCGACACAGTGGGCTCTGCCTAATCCCTGAGCCGTCCCAGGCACCAGCCAGGACCAGGCCAGCTATGCTACCTTAACCCGCTCCGGAGCGAGCCCTGACCTGGGGAAGGAACATTCCAGGGAGGGCTTCCAGCAGCAGCAAAGGAGGCATGTGGCTAGAGAGGAGGGCTGCGGGGTATTGGAGGGAGGGCAGAGGGAAAGGCTGCTGCAGCCTTTCTTGAGAGAAGGAGCCACAAGGGCAGGAGGGGGAAGAATACAGGACCCTCAGAGAGCTGTGTGAGGAGATGGGGGGTGGGGGTGGGTGGGGGTGGCAGCAACTGCTCCCTGTGCACACAAGCTGTCCTTAGCCAGCCACACACGGCCACGTACAACAACACGGAATTTCCTTGGCCGGCAGCCCCCATCCTGCAGCAGGCTGTCCGCCTCTCCAGGCAGGGTCTCACCTTCCTATATGCTACCACAGCCCCCACCGAACGGGCCTGCCCTGGGGCCCACAAGGGGCCGTGGGGATCCTCCCAAATGCCCCTCTACTGGAGGCAGCGACCCCACTCTCAGGGCTGCCTTCCTTTACCAGAACTGTGGCCTGACCCCAGCTGACTCCACTCCAGCTTGACAGTCACCTCACCCAGAGGGCAGGGTCTCCGCACTGTGCCTTCTAGACCCACCTGAGCCCTGGTCCTCCCCCCGCCGCCCCCTTCCTCACTGCTGACAGAAGATTCTAGATCAGGACGGGTCAGGGGGCACACGAGAGAGGGTCACTCTCCCTGGGTATGGGCACCAGGGCCAAGAAGATGGAGACCACAAAGGGCTTCCTAAGTGGCACGCATGGCCTCAGCCCACCTGTGACGGAAGTGAGCCCCTAGAGGTGGGCATGCTGAGATGGGGGGATAATGGGGGCCAAGATGCTGGACTGAGCAGGTCTTAAATAAGCAAGTTACACAACATGGACACATCAAACACGCAGTATGCTTCCATTTTTGTATTTTAAAATAAATATCATGTATCATAACCAGAAACTGAAATGACACTGTTAACAGCAATGATGTTGGGGCCCTGGGGAGTGGCTTATGGGAAAATGGGGATGATTCCTTCTGGAGAACACAGATCTCTTCTCAAACTTCAGTCACCAATGTTATAAAAATGGCACCCGTGTTCTCTGGCGGCAGCAGCTCTCCACCTTCCGGGGCACGCCAGGCCCTGGGTCCTGCCTCAATGTTAGGGTCTTGGCACACTGGGGTGGGGCTGACCTGCTGTGCAGACAGAAGCCGGAGGCAGGGCCTCCCTCCAAGGGGAGAGGCCACGGGAGCAGGCCCCTCTCATAAGCAGAGCTCCAAACTTAAAGTGCACCTGGGGAGTGAGGGGCCTGCATACACGGATAAGAAGTGTGTATATATGGATAATACTCTGCGGGCACCACTGTGCCGATACACAACACATGTTATAAAACACACAGGAAAACGTTGGACAAGATGTAAATGAAGTAAATAGTTTTAAACACCTTCTCGTGGTGGCTTCCTACCACCATTCGCTCATATTCTTAGGCAGTCTTTCCTTTGGGGCGAGTTTGCCATTAATGACGAAAGACTTAAATCTACTTCCCATTGCCTTTGTGATGCATCACCACCTCTGGGCCCACTTGTCAGGCCCAGCCGGATCCTCAGTTTTGAAGTAGGTGGCACCTCGCAAACAGCAACTTTTGTAAGCAAAAGCAGGGGCTCTGCCACCGGCTCGTTTGCTGGGGCTGTGTTTTCAGTATTCTCCCACGCTGGAGTTTCTTAGCAGAAACCTTTTAAGATGCTTTCGGTATGGACACTTTCAAATAGACACAAAAACAGAGGGAAGAATATAATGAACTCCCACGAAGCTCTGTCCTGCATCACGGCAGCTCGCCCTACACGTTTGTCCACAGCACAACACTATGGTCACACCTCTGAAAACCCATGAGTCAACCTCTACTACAAATCCAGATTCAGCTTCCCTAACTGTGCCCTAAAGTTTTTATAACTCCCCTCCCAATCCAGGATGCATCAGAATTCATGTGCTACATGTGAATTTATGTTTTTTTCTTTTAATTTCTTTGAACCCAGAACATGGGTGCCTGGGTGGCTCAGTCAGTTAAGTGTCTGACTCTTGATCTTGGCTCAGGTCATGATCTCAGGGTCATGGGATCGAGCCCCACAACGGGCTCTGCGCTGGGCATGGAGCCTGCTTGAGATTCTGTTTCTCCCTTTCCCTCTGTCCTCCCCTGCCCCACTCTCTCTCCCTCTCAAACAAAACAAAAACAAAAACCCAAAACAAAATACAAAAAAAAAAAGAACAGGGTGGGGGGATGGGTTAGCCTGGTGATGTGGGTATTAAAGAGGGCACATTCTGCGTGGAGCACTGGGTATTATGCACAAACAATGAATCATGGAACACTACATCAAAAACTAATGATGTAATGTATGGTGATTAACATAACAATAAAAAATCTAAAGAGAAAAAAAATGTACTAAACTAAAAAAAAACAAAACAAAAAAACAAACAAATGATGTTGCGTTGTGTCAAGTATTCCGGCCAGTTATCTTGTAGTAGAGGAATCTTTTTTAGCCACATATTCATTTTGTGGCTACTATTTAAATCCAGAACAGAACTGCCAAGTCCACTTAAGCAGGCACAAGCAGCCAACACCACGCTGCGCCCACACCCACACCGAGCTGCTGGACATCAGGGCATCAGCACCATCCGTGTGGGCGCCTCACTCTGCTCCAACTCCTTCGCACACTGAGCCACTGCTGCCAGGGTCGACACACTTATTTCTTTTTAATTTCACAATTGCTCTCCAAATGCCCCAGTGGAGCCACAGAGACAAGTACGGCCATTAGAGCCTACCCGGGGCCTCTGCCATCCTCGCCAGGGATGACGGTCCCATGTCCCCCAGCTCAGAACACGCTATCATGCACTGCAGACTGGGGTATTCCCTGTTTAACTGCCAGTATCAAGAAGGTAACAGTATCCAGGAGTGTCTATACCATCCCGAAGGCCAGCGCCCTCTGCTGGGGTCAGGGCAGTGGGCCTTGGCCTAGGAGTCACCACCAACGGCTGTGATTAGGGCAATGAGGAACTACTAGATTTACCCTTTGCAAGGCACTTGGGCCTAGAAACCCAAAAGCTCTTTACCTGTCTACTACTCTGGTGGGACATCTACGCATTACACTCAAAACTCTTCTGAAAGATCAAGTTTGCAAATATGGGACATGCTTTCAATAGGATATTTGGAGGACACAAGAATGGGGTGACTTCCCAAGCAGAAGCAAAGACTGGTAGGTGTGGCCCCTCTGCTGGGGCCTCTGCAGTCACCATCTCTGCTCCCTGCCCCTTTCCAGCTGCCAGGCTTAGCACCCCTGTCCCATGAGACCCTGCCTCTCTCCAGGGAAGCCAGCTGCCTGGGGCTTTTGAATACCAATCCTATCTGTGCCCTTCACCCACTCTATGTAAAAACACAGACTGTCTCAAGGCCATTCAGGCTGGGAAACAGGTGGGCTCGGAGGTCAATCCCCTTCATTCTCCACAGTGAGGTGGACAGCGCAAGATGTCTGGGGTCCCCAGGACCACCATTCCTCACTTGTCCTTCTCAGAGATACTTAAGACATCCACAATGGGACTGGGACATGTTTGGGGGAAAATAGGACCCAAGCTCAAACCACAGGCCCAAACAGCAGCCCAAAAGCAAGGCCTGACAAGGGGACAGGGCACGGGAACATAGCTCAGGCAGCAAGTGGAGAGGCCACATCCAGGGCCTAGGTGAAACATGCCAGTGCCAGGGCAATGGGGCAGGAGGGGAGGGACAGACACAGGCAGGGGGCAGGACTCAGCTGCCCACACCAGACATGCTTCCTTTATGCTACGTTGGTGTTTCCAAGCAACTCAGCATAAAATCCTTAAAGCAACACACATGTACATACACACACACACACTCATCTATTTTAATTCCATCTGCCTGATGGCTTTCTTTCCAGTTCGGATTCTACTTCTGATGTCTCTATCCTAGCAGACTTATCCCTCCCTCTCTGTCAGCTGCACACTCTGCATGTTCATTTTCATACCTCAATTAAAGGCCTTCACTTAAAGGGAAAATGGACAGTCTAGAAATATGGCCAAGTGAGAAGGAAGCACAGGTTCCAGAGAAGGCTCTAGCCCCACACAGGGCCTGAAAGAAGGGCCTTGGAGTGCCCACCCATCATCACGGTGCTCCCCACAGTCTGGGGCCCATTCCTCTCCATGAGCCCTGCACTAGGCACCACTAGGGAGAGGGTGGGGGGAAGTGGGGAGCCCCTAGCAATATCTTCCTAGTCAGGATGATGCCCCCCACCCCAACTGCAAACCCAACAACTCTTCTGAACGACCAGAAAGACTTACCCTTGAAGGCTACCTCCCAGCGACCCAAGGAGCGGTTCCGGCTGGCGATGACATACTGGTAGCCGACCCACAGCCTGCAGGAGGGTGAAAGGCAGCAGACCTCAGCACAGCAGGGAGACAACCATGGACTGGGTATGAATGTGGGCACCTCAGAGTTATAGTGACCTTTCAAATACCAAGTTTGTAAAGCAGTAATGATTTTTTAAGTTTTGATATTTAATTTTAATAAAATGCATTAGAAGTCTAAACAATAAATTCACAGGTCAGAAAAAGTTGTACCTTGGGTAACTCCTGGCAAGGCCATTCTTATTGGCTGATCCAATAAAGTTTTCACATTCTATGCAAGAGCAATCTTATTCTTGGGGTACATACAGCCCCGTGAATACAACTCTTGAATATCCTAAAACCACAGAGTGGCACACTCTGAAGGTATATGAATTACATCTCAATAAAACACAAACCCGTGTGAGCCTACAGTGCAGTGCTGGGTAAAACCATGCTCATGGTCTCCCACTCGGTCTCCACTTCGAGGCAGCTCGCCCCAGACCTGCAGTGTGCTCCTGGGCACGCACAGCACAGCACTGAGGGGGCCAAGCCCGCGGACCTGGCCAACTGCTACAACCACCTGCTGAGTGTGTGCCTCTCCCCCCAGCCTTCCAGCCACAGGCCTGGAGATACCCGTCAGCAGCCCCAAGGCCACCGTGGGAGATCTGGCTGGATGCCACTCTTGTCCCTTAAGCCTACTGCCATGCACACGCCACCCTGGGGAGACAGGGTGCTTCCCCACCCAGTGGGCTGAACCCTCTTGCTTCTCCATGGACTCACAATCACCCTGCGGATCTACAAGTTATTTTTCTCACTTTGGAGCTGTAGAAGGAAGAACAGCAAGGTGACTGTGATTTGCCAACATCACGGGGTGTAACGGTGGAGCCTGAACCCAGCCAGGGTCTCGAAATGAAGGCTCGCTCTCCACCTGCCACTGTCCTTGTGCTCCTACAACAGCGTGGCATCCCTGAGAGGGAGCGCTGGCCATCTGGCAACCCCTACAATCCACTCCACCACCCCCCGGCTGCGTGGAAGAGGCCGCAGGACACCACCTCCAGGGGAGGACCACCACAGTCCTCAGCACACACCTGCCCTCCAACAAGACCCTGGAAACTCTGGGCTGGGAGGTGCTGGCAGCTGGCTGCAACTGCCACATTTTCTCCACAACATCACAGAGCCTTGGGGTCAAGAGCCAGGCTCTGGAGCCCAACTGCCTGGGTTGGAACCTGGGCATGCCCCAGCTAGTGTGTGCCTGCAGTTACGTGTTCACCCACTGGCCTCCTGTGGTTTCTGGGAAGACTGAACAAGTGTGCTGATGGGAAGCACTGAGCACAAGGCCTGAAAGAACCCTCTTTCTCGGAAGGAACCCCCACCCACTTGCATGGCCTTCCTGCCAGGCCTACGAAGCCCCATCAAACAGCCCCTCCCGACACAGCTGCAGCTGAACCCAGACGGGAGCCAATGAAGGGGACTGGCCCGAGGTGACACAATGTGGCAGCTCATTCCTGCCCCTCTAAGAGCTCCCAACATCATCCTGATGCCTGCTCTAAACCCCAGATCTCTATTTGTTTCCAGTGGATGGGGCTGCCCTTCCCGAACCCAATGCCAGCCAGCTAAGCCTGCGGAGTGTCACGGGTGGCCAGAGGCCATGGCCTCGGTGGGCATCCTGCTTGCTGGGCGGCAGCCTGACCTCAGGCCCTGGGGCCCCACCTCAGGACTCACTTGTGCTGGTCCTGCCAAGCGAAGCTCCGCTCTGGCTGGTCCCATTCCTGGGCCAGGACGAAGCGCAGCTCCTGGTCGGTGGAGAAGGTGGCGAGGGAGCCGTTGACGCGCTGGCAAGTCTGCGCGGCGTCCCAGTAGTTCTCCCCACTCAGGTAGACCCGGTAGCAGCTGGCCGTGCCTTCATAGTGGTGCCATCCTGTCGGGCACTTCCCTAGGAAACATGAAGGGCGGGAGGGGGGTTGTCCCCTAAATTAGGATCCTCACTCCAAAATGCAATTAGACATGCTGTATCTGAGCAGAGGTCAGAAATCACCCCAGAAAAACAGGGAAACTGAGGCTCAAGAAGCAAGCTCTGCCTGTAAGATCACACATGCTGTGAAATGCAAGTTTCTCTAAGACACAGATGCAGCCCAAGGCACAAGCACATTCAAGGACTCATCTCATTTCGGTAAGGCCTTTGATTTACTTGGCAGTAAAGACTGGCTGCTGAATGCATTTTGGCAAAGTGGATTTCATTCTCGGGTGAAATCTGGTTGACGAGATGGCAGAATTCCCCATGTCTGCTCACTGCAAGCCTAGCAGGGGTGAACAGAAGGGCTCCCCACCCACACCGCCCTCACTGCCCCAGCAGCTGGCTCTCTGGCCACTCCACCAGCAAGCCCACTGCTTCCCGAGCCCACTCCTTGGCCCTCCTTTTCTCTTCACCTGGGTACTGGCCAGCACTCCCCTAAAACAGAAATTCAGGGGATGAGAGCTGGAAGTGCCACTGGGATAAAGGGACCAGCCCCTGCCTCCCACAGACGAGAAAGTGAGGCCCAGGTGGTTGTGCAGCAGGCAAAAGCAGAGTAGCCAGTGGGAGCCTGCCTCTCCCTGAGGTGGGCCAGCCCAGATGTCTCCTCACCAGGCGGACCCACCCTCCCCAGGCCGGGAAGACTCCTGCTGTACTGTATGGCTGGCCTTACGTAAGACCTATGACCTGTTCCACAGGATCTATAGCCTTCAGATGCTGGGGTACCCACCTCCTAAGCACACATTAATGAATAATAATTTCTGACAAAGCCAGCTGTTAACAAAACCCAACTTTTTAATGCATCTACATCCTGCAGAACTAGTAAAACTTCTGAAAGATGGATGCTCATGTTTTTATTATTTAGAGCCTATGTGTGTAACTTATTAACAGAGGTACAGAGATTACAAGAGAGGAAATGGCAGCTCTGGCCTGGAGCCAAGGCCTGCCACAGCAGTGCGACAGGGGGACAGCGCCATCTGCCCACCGGGGAAGACCCGCTCACAAACTGCGGAGCATGCACAAAGGCTCTTCACGGTGGGCCAGGAGCCAGCCCTGAGATCATCCCTGTTCGGAAGGTGCGCGGGGTGCGCAGCACATGCCTGCTGTGTGTGTGGCGTGGGCTTGAGGGGCAGGGGGATCACCAGGGGAGCCTTTACTACGGTTCCTAAGCCCCCACATGTGATGCGTTCCACCCGCCACATCCCCTCCCGGTGGGTTCCGCCTTGTCTCCAGGCAGAGGTGGCGACACCAAGGCACGCAGGGGCCAAGCACCTCGGCTGGCAAGCAGGAGGGTAGGCTTCCACCCCGGGCTCCTCACCACATCACCTTGGGATGGGTCCAGAGAAAACCCGGGATGACAGCCGGTGGTGGGGAGCAATGGAAGGAGGGAACATCACTTTTTATTGGCTCATCTTTTCTTAATCATTTGAAATTTGTGGATTTATTGGTAGAAATATTACCTGTCCCAAAAAAACAGATAAGCAATGAAAAGGGCGAGTGTGAGTTGGGACTCCACAGGGTTGAGTCCCCCGTTGGCTGCATGACCTTGGTTGGGGTGACCTCTCAGAGCCTCAGTTTCTTCACCTGCCAAGCTTGCCCAGTGCCCCTTCAACCACGAGAATCCTTGCAGTTCACAGCTATCACGGATCAAGGCCAAGCACTGCATCAGGATAGGGAATGGCTGACGCCAGCTCCACACTCGCTCAGTCCCGGTTAGACAACCCAGGAGCTGAGATGCCCCCCAGTGCTGAGTGTCTGTGTGTGTGTTGGGTGGGGGGTATTAACATAGCCAACAGGCTCGTAGGCCACAGGAGACACGTCACGTCAGTTCTTCCTGTCCTGGCTCATTGTACCTATGTATGTCACTACGCCTGTCTGTTTAGGACGGGGGGGTGGTTTAGTGTGGTTTTCTGTCTTTCAACCTTCTTTAATCTTGTAATGCTCCTTTAAAATCTTAATGGCATAGGGATATCAACTAGTCTCTTCAAAAACGGCTTAACGACAGAGGTAGAGCCTTCCCTCCCGTCAGCTGGACCTGATCTCTGGGAGCCTATTTCACCATCTTCCAAAGGGCCGGTACAGTTCAACCCCAAAAAGCCTCTGACTTGTGTAAACAAGGAGCCTGTTCCAGAGCCTGGGTTCACATCACGGCTTCACCACTCAGGGGCTGAAGGGCCATTTTAGGAGGCACACCCCTCATCCAGCCGAGTGGCCCTGATGGCCAGGGGCAACAACGCTTGGGTCCCGGACAGGGCAGGTCTGCAACTTACTGCTAAAGCGCACGGGCTGCGCCACATTCACCGCGTGGAAGTGTTTGGGGTCGCTGCCTCGGGCCCGCCCCGGCCGCGGATCCACAGCCTCCTTCCCATGATAAGGACGCGACTCCCCAGTCACTTCTGAAAGCAAGAAGAGAAACGGGCTGTCAGCACTGCTCACACAGCAGCGAGGCACACAGCTGACAGGGGCTCTCTTGGCCAGTGCCAAATTAAAGTACAGCGTAGTCAGGCTACTCAGGACTGGGAAAACCAGGTCGAGGGGAAGGCAGCACATATTCTAGTTACTCAGGTGTTCTTTAAAGTCTAGGAAACCTTGCTGCTCAGGCCCAACAGGTCACATGCGCTCCTCACTGAAATTATTCATTTTGTTATTACTATTATGAAATGAGGTCTCTCCTTCATTGCATTTTCTAACGGGCACAGCACAGGGCTAGTCATTCCTGTGGAAAATCCCTCAGCAGCTCTGGTTGCGTGGCGGGGGACAGGGAGGAGTCTCTCCAGAGGCCAGGTTGCCCCTTGCACCCCAACTGCCTGGGAGCCTCCCGTGAGCATGAAGGGGGAACCACTGTGTGATACCCTCCTCTGCACTACTCACACTGGGCCTGAGTTGCTGTCTGAGCAGCTGCCTGCGGGTTCCTCTCAGTGCAAGGCCAGGGCCTAACATTCCTGCCTGGCTCCCGGGTGCCTGGAACAGGCCCCATTGTGCAGCTGGCCTCAAGCACAGTCAGAAGTGTGAACAGGAAGCTGAAGATGAGGAAGACTTCTAGTTTCATGGATCATGATCGAATAGCAATTCGCAGGTTGGTGCTTCCACAGTCTCTCTGTGGAGTTCTCCAACCCTGAGAGCACCACTCTCCTCCCTCTCGAAGGTGAGGGGTGATGCGGAGACGTGACGTAAGGTACCCAAGGCACAGAACAGGAGACAGCCAGAGGCAACGTCCCAACCGGGCCACCCTCCTCCCTCCTCTGCCTGCATGGGGGCATCTTGGTGCACGGTGAGGACACCTGGTTCAGGGTCAGGACAAACAGCGGTGACCTTGGTCTGCATGGCTGCACACAGAAGGAGGCCGGCTGTGCTTCCCCATGGCCACCTCCAGCAGGCCTGAGGCAGAGGATGTGGGGCACACGGGCATGGCATGGCACATGGGTTTGGGGGAGACCTGGCTCCACGGCGCTCCACTTGACTGAAGCTTCACCAGCTATCTGATCCTGCTCGTGTCGCAGACTCTGACACTGTTTTTATTTCATAAATAACCTGTATTTTTCCTCATTGTAAAATAACAAATCATCCATGTGAAATAACCAAGAAACACAGAAGTCTAAAAAGCCAAAACATAAACCACTACTATGCTAGGGTCTGCCGCCCTCCCCGTCCTTTTTTCTGTACAAATCCCTAAAAATATTGGGATCACATCACTCTATTTTATGATCTGCTTTGTAAGCTTGAATATAAACAGCTTTCCATACTCTTAAATGCACTTAAGAACATCACTTTTAATGGCTGCACAGAATTCTGTGAATGGATTTAGTTATCATAATCCCCTATGGTTCGAAGTTTAGGTCGTTTGCATTTTGTCATGACCCTACAAAGGGCTGCACAGAACCACCTGTACAGAAGTCTCTGTGTGTGCTCCTCCTCGTTTCCTCCTGCCCTAGCAGCTCTGGTTCCTTCCCCTTTATTCAGTACAATATTTCCATAGCCCTTCCCCAGGCATGTGATGGGGCTCAGGGGCCATCCGATTACAAACCACTCTAAAATATAAAATGTGCGGGGCGCTCAGTTGGTTAAGCGACTGCCTTCGGCTCAGGTCATGATCCGGGAGTCCCGGGATCGAGCCCCACATCGGGCTCCCCACTCAGCAGTGAGTCTGCCTCTCCCTCGGACCCTCCCGCTTCTCATGCTCTATCTCATTCTCTCTCTCAAATAAATAAAATCTTTAAAAAAATAAAAATAAAGTAAAATATAAAATGTGCTACCAATGTCTGAGAGAAGCTCAACTCAAGGCAAGACCTCAGAGGAGAAGCATGTTCAAGGCCTTTGGTGCGACCTCACCGCCAACACAATGACCTCATTGCGGCCACCTGCGTGCTGCAGTTGCTCTCTTCGGGGCAACATCAGTTCTCCAGGACCAGGGTACCCCATCCACACATCCTGAACACAGCCACTCCTGGCAGGAGACTAGCAGTTGTGACACAGGGCAGTGCTACCACAGCCATCCCCCCAACCCCCACCCTGGGGAGGCAGGGAGAGGAGTGCGGAGACCCACACTGGGCTCCTAAGAGATGGCTGACTAGAGACAAGGGGGGCCTCCCAGCAGAGAGCCCAGCTTGGGCAAAGGCCAAAGGTGGACACATTTCGGACAAGCTCGAGGGCAAGTCTGGGTGTGGTGAGCACGTTTCCCTACACCTGAATTTCATGTGTCCCTCTGTCTGCTCTGACGAGCAAGACCTGTGATTCCACTTTGGGTCTTGGCTTCTGGCCCAGACCCAAGCACAGCAGCACCTGGTAGAGGACAGGCCAAACTGTTCACAGAGACAGATAAATCTGGGGCACAGGGCAGGGAGAGTGCTGCCAGGGGCTGGATGCTGGCTGACTATGGAGCGGGTGTGGGGCAATAGGCAGAACAACTCAGGGAAGTCACCAGAAAGCCAACTGGTGATGGGGGAAGCCACTTTGCACTGAGCAGGCTTCTCTGGTGGCTCAGGTGGCAATTCTGAGCCCTTCTCTTTTCCATTATTTCTCTTCACAGCCAAACGCCCACAGACATGCCCTCATCACTCATGTGTTCAGCACCACCATGGGAACCCACTGGCATAGACCAGGGATTTCCAGTGTCCTGGGGGCCAGGAGAAGCAGGAACTGGGTGCAAATGGGGAAGAGACAGAGTTCACTGGAGTAGCACCCCTGCAGACCCCTTAGGAGCACCTCCGACAACACAGAATTTCCTTCTGCAACTCACTGACAGCATTTCCCCTTAGGGCCAGTTGGTGGGTGTGAGCTGATACCTGTGCAGCCAGCCCCAAGAACTGGTTTCAGGATGCAGACACCCCAAAGCAACTTTCCCTCTCCCTCTGTCTCCTGTTCAATCTCAGTGTACCAGGCACTCTAGGCATGGGGAATAGAGTAGTGAGCAAAACAGCAGACAATCCTGTCCTCCCTTAGTGAGAGGTCATGCCCTCGGTCCACCTTCTCTTCCATCCAGCAACTGGCGGTGGGCACACTTATACCCTGTGACTGGGAATGGAAGAGTCTGAGTGCACACCCCAGCCCCCAGCCCCCAGCTCAGCCTGCCGTCTTGGAGGGGTGCTCTCTGCACCACAGGCTGCTGTCTGAGTTCTGTTCTCTTCAGGTGTCCCCACCAAGACTTCAGAATAGCTCTGGCCACCAAAGATGGATGGAGTACATAGAAGGAGATGTGAAGCAAGGAGGAGACAACATGGTTGACTTGGTATTATAAAAACTGAGGTAAAGGGAAATGTCTTTCAGATGGGAAAGCAGGCTCTGAAATGTTATGAGGCTTGCTTCACAGAAGTAGTGGAAAATAGGAGATGTGAGCCTTCCACTTGCTCCAGGTCCCCTGGACCTGAGCCTCCTCCCACCTCACAGCATGGCCACCAGAGGCCTGCCCCACCCATCTTCCCAAGCTGTGTGCTACAGATGGGGGTGGGGGGGAGCAGTGCTCAGGGCAGCTGCCTCTTGCTCCACGAGGGGCACCCAGCATGCCAGGTATCCTGCTTTCCCACTACAGGCCTCACAGGGAGAGCTGCGGGGAGGGGGGGGGTCGAGGCATAGGAGAACCTTGAGTCCAACAAGGAAACTGAGTCAGGGCAGGCAGTGGCATGCTTGCTTCCCAACATCTGTTATTTGCAAATAAAGGACAAAACGTGACTGATTCTAATTTGTGTTTCTAGGATTGTATAACTTGTCCAAATATGGCATTAGGGTCCAGATGAGCTTGTAACCTCTCCAAATAAAGGGCAAAACAGACTGGAGCATCTCCAGCGCTCCAAGTAGTCAGAATGCCTGTCACTTTCCTTCTTTATAACAAAACAGGCTTAGAATCATGGTCAAAAATCAAATGTAGGTAAGTAACACTTGCTTACCAAAAGAGAATTTCTAACATCAGAGAGCCTGAAAATATAAAATTTTGAATGGTATTTCCATTATGTTGTACATTCTTTACATTGATTCTTTTCCCTTCCAGCTAGGGCCAGGGTCACGGATCTTATTAAGAATCTCACTGAGGGGCACCTGGGTGGCTCAGTCGTTAAGCACCTGCCTTCGGCTCAGGTCATGATCCCAGGGTCCTGGGATCGGGCCCCACATGGGGCTCCCTGCTCAGTGGGAAGCCTGCTTCTCCCTCCCCCGCTCCCCCTGCTTGTTCCCTCTCTCACTGTCAAATAAATAAATAAATAAATAAATAAATAAATAAATTTTAAAAAAAAGAATCTCACTGAGGCTAAAGGTTTACTAGTTCGGGCAAGCCCAGGATTGCCATCTTTGTCTCAGAACATCAAGGTTTCGAGACCTATGCTTCTGAACAAATGAGCACTTTTGCTTTCCCATTTTATACCCACATGTGGACAACATGTAACTCAACACAGAGAATAACTGCAAAAATACAGCCCTGTCGGTTCCAAGCTCAAAATCTGCTTCCCTCCTGTTGCAAGGATTCACAAATGTCTCAGGCACAAGTTCACAGAAGAAATGCCTTACCGGGCGCCTGGGTGGCTCAGTCGGTTAAGCGTCTGCCTTCGGCTCAGGTCACGATCCCAGAGTCCCGGGATCGAGTCCCACATCAGGCTCCTTGCTGAGCAGGGAGCCTGCTTCTCCCTCTGACCCTCCTGCCTCTCATGTACTCTCTCTCTCTCATTCTCGCTCTCTCAAATAAATAAATCAATCTTAAAAAAAAAAAAAAAAGAAATGCCTTACCTTCCACTAAGGCCGGTGACAGAAGCCAAAGCCATCAGATAGTCCTATGACACATTCAAGATGTGGCCTTGGGTCTCAACTGCCAGCAGAGATACGGCAGAAGCAGAATGGCCTGGTAGGAATCCTCACCCAAGGTATGTATGTATTAATTCTTATTTCTTATGTATACCACAAGATGAAACAGAAA